AAGGGGGGGTGTTCTGTCAGTGAATAGTATTTTTTTAGGGAAAGGGGGGGTGTTCTGTCAGTGAATAGTATTTTTTTAGGGAAAGGGGGGGTGTTCTGTCAGTGAATAGTATTTTTTTAGGGAAAGGGGGGGTGTTCTGTCAGTGAATAGTATTTTTTTAGGGAAAGGGGGGGTGTTCTGTCAGTGAATAGTATTTTTTTAGGGAAAGGGGGGGTGTTCTGTCAGTGAATAGTATTTTTTTAGGGAAAGGGGGGGTGTTCTGTCAGTGAATAGTATTTTTTTAGGGAAAGGGGGGGTGTTCTGTCAGTGAATAGTATTTTTTTAGGGAAAGGGGGGGTGTTCTGTCAGTGAATAGTATTTTTTTAGGGAAAGGGGGGGTGTTCTGTCAGTGAATAGTATTTTTTTAGGGAAAGGGGGGGTGTTCTGTCAGTGAATAGTATTTTTTTAGGGAAAGGGGGGGTGTTCTGTCAGTGAATAGTATTTTTTTAGGGAAAGGGGGGGTGTTCTGTCAGTGAATAGTATTTTTTTAGGGAAAGGGGGGGTGTTCTGTCAGTGAATAGTATTTTTTTAGGGAAAGGGGGGGTGTTCTGTCAGTGAATAGTATTTTTTTAGGGAAAGGGGGGGTGTTCTGTCAGTGAATAGTATTTTTTTAGGGAAAGGGGGGGTGTTCTGTCAGTGAATAGTATTTTTTTAGGGAAAGGGGGGGTGTTCTGTCAGTGAATAGTATTTTTTTAGGGAAAGGGGGGGTGTTCTGTCAGTGAATAGTATTTTTTTAGGGAAAGGGGGGGTGTTCTGTCAGTGAATAGTATTTTTTTAGGGAAAGGGGGGGTGTTCTGTCAGTGAATAGTATTTTTTTAGGGAAAGGGGGGGTGTTCTGTCAGTGAATAGTATTTTTTTAGGGAAAGGGGGGGTGTTCTGTCAGTGAATAGTATTTTTTTAGGGAAAGGGGGGGTGTTCTGTCAGTGAATAGTATTTTTTTAGGGAAAGGGGGGGTGTTCTGTCAGTGAATAGTATTTTTTTAGGGAAAGGGGGGGTGTTCTGTCAGTGAATAGTATTTTTTTAGGGAAAGGGGGGGTGTTCTGTCAGTGAATAGTATTTTTTTAGGGAAAGGGGGGGTGTTCTGTCAGTGAATAGTATTTTTTTAGGGAAAGGGGGGGTGTTCTGTCAGTGAATAGTATTTTTTTAGGGAAAGGGGGGGTGTTCTGTCAGTGAATGGTTGTTGGGGGGGTTGATTATCAGCCATAGACTATGGTTGGTTAATACGATCAGAGCGCATGTCATGTGTTTAGATGTGTTGCCTCTGACTTCTATGGGCTCCCCAACACGTTAAGTCTCCATTCACACATAGGCGTACCCGGGACACACCTTGCGGCTCCGTGCGTTTTCTTTCCGCATTTGCCGCGTGTCTCCATTGGTTTCAATGGCTTCCAGTGTGCACGACAAGCACAGAAAAGTAGCTCATGTAGAAAAATCTGTGATGCGCATGATGCATTTTTAGCATGTGTAAAAGACGCACCACTTTTCGGCTCCGGTTGGGGTGCCATTAACTAGTAATTTTCCCAAAATGTCTAGGTGTGAATGGGGTGTAAGCACAGAGATGTGACCAGACTATTATGGGATATAACGACGCATGCATTATGATCCGACACTTGGGGTCTTTTGGACCTCCAGCATCACCCTAAAGAGTACCTGCCACCACCATCTGCTATCTCATGGGAGGCTTGTAAGCCCCTCTATGTGATAGCAATTAAAGTAAAGTAATAATAAATAAATAACAGTTTTTAAAATTAACATTAAATAAAATAAATCTAAAAATAATTTACAAATGTTTTTTAAAGCCCCCCATCCCTGCGAGCGCGTCGCCACATAAACACGCATCGGGTGCGCCTATGTATGAAAACGACGAATGCGCTACACATGTTGGGTATCGTCGCCAGTGGTGATTCTAGGAACAATTTATAGGTGGGGCACATAAGATACCACAGTCAAAATGGGGGGGGCACTAATAATTTTCAACACTAAATCATACCACTGAAAAAACTAAAGAAGTATATATACTGTAAATAAGATTACAAAATACGAGAGTAATGCGGTATGCGGTGATACCTTTTTATTGTACTAGCCTAATACTTAGAAGACAAGCTTTCAAGAGTTTTTCTTTCTGAAGGTATTTTTAAGTCTGAAGGTATTGCTTCAGACTTGAGAAAGAGAGGAAAACTCTCAAAAGCTTTTCTTTATAGTTTAAAGCAATTTCAGCAAACACCAGGGCTGTGTAAATAATCACCTATGTAACACAGCGATAGAGGACTACAAACCGCAGCAATACATTATACAGTAATGCAGAATAATACCACCAGCTATAGAGGACTACAAATCCCAGCAAAACATAGAGCAATGCAGAATAATAGTATATACATTTGCCACATACTCTGTGCTGCTGCTCTACTCTAAGGTTCTGGCCTAATGTATTGGGCAGAGCTTGTCAGGAGGGGTGGGGAGGGTCTTAGTAAGGGGTGATGTGCGGGTGGCAGAAGCGCTGTAAGCAGGCATTGCGTGGCTACCCAGAAGGCTGCCGCAAGGTCCCCAGCAAGTTCCGGACCTAAAGGTGGCCATACACCCTACAATTATCTGCAGATTTTCTAGTCAGATGGAAAAGGTGCAACAGATTCCTCCATTTACACTTAACTGTGTGGATGGAGGAATCTCCACCTGGTCCAATCCGTTGCACTTTTTCCCTCTGACCACAGAAAATCTGCTGATAATTGTTAGGTGTATGGACACAATTTGAAAAATGGAAGTGCTGGTATCAGTTTTTAGTATTGGGACAGAGGTCAGTTATAACACAGAGTGCATTGGTCAATAATGTATCGCAGGGTGCGGAGGTCAGTAATGTAATGCAAAGTGCAGAGGTCAGTAATGTAACGCAGAGTGCGGAGTTCAGTAATGTAACGCAGAGTGCGGAGTTCATTAATGTAACGCAGAGTGCGGAGGTCAGTAATGTAACGCAGAGTGCGGAGGTCAGTAATGTAACACAAAGTGCGGAGGTCAGTAATGTAACGCAGGGGACGGAGGTCAGTAATGTAACGCAGAGTGCGGAGGTCAGTAATGTAACGCAGAGGGCGGAGGTCAGTAATGTAACACAAAGTGCGGAGGTCAGTAATGTAACGCAGGGGACGGAGGTCAGTAATGTAACGCAGAGGGCGGAGGTCAGTAATGTAACACAAAGTGCGGAGGTCAGTAATGTAACGCAGGGGACGGAGGTCAGTAATGTAACGCAGAGGGCGGAGGTCAGTAATGTAACACAAAGTGCGGAGGTCAGTAATGTAACGCAGGGGACGGAGGTCAGTAATGTAACGCAGAGGGCGGAGGTCAGTAATGTAACACAAAGTGCGGAGGTCAGTAATGTAACGCAGGGGACGGAGGTCAGTAATGTAACGCAGAGTGCGGAGCTCAGTAATGTAACGCAAAGTGCAGATGACAGCAATGTAACGCAAAGTGCGGAGAACAGCAATGTAACGCAAAGTGCGGAGAACAATGGTGTAAGATAGAAAGGGGCTTACAGTTTTAATGTACTAGATCATGTGCTCTGTCATGCCCTCTTCTTCCTCTCCGGGTAGTGGGTAGTGGGTGGGGGGGAACAGCGATGTTTCTCCCATGTGAAGCCCCAAGCAGCCTTGATGCGTCTTATCTGTCCCTACTCTGCTAAAATACATGAGCAGCCAATGGCAGTGCTGCACTCTCTCTCTTAGCCAATAGCAGCTGGGGTGGGCGGAGGAAGATACAAGTGGTTGCCGACTGCCGAGGAGCCCGTACAAGGGTCTCAAACTCAATTTAGTCGGGGGCCACTGGACACATTTTTTAGTCCCGTGGGGGCCGCTACTATATACGGTACCAGTGTTAATGTCTGTACATGTTACAAGCGGCAACTGTCACCCATTCAAATTAATGATTGGGTGACAGCCGCTGCATGTAAACGCCTGCACACCGCATGTAATCATATGTGAAAGGATTACATGCAGTTAGGAATCTG